GAGAGAGAGAGAGAGAGAGGTGGTTTGATGATCACTTGTTCTTAGAGGAAGAATTGGAGGAACAGGAAGATGGGCCTTTGAAGATTCCAGAGAAGATTTGTGGAGTAATAACTCTTAATCCAGAAGATCAAAATTCATGGCAAGACTCCAACTCCTGTCATTACCCAAATTCCCAAGACCCAGCGATTTGCATCAAAATAATCCCAAAACCCAGCAATTTGCATCAATAATATAGACAGATTATCAATGATATCAATAGATCAAATCTGATGTGAAAGATAATGATCAACAGATTATAAATAATTCACAAGCATAGATTATCAGGGCCTGAAGGTAGATCTGCATAAAAAATACAACTGATTATCAATATAAAATAAATAAATTTAGAGAAAAAAAAAAACAGATCTATATTGTATTTTTTACAGATCTATACTCAGATCTAAACACTCATATAGATATCTATATAATATACATATATGTAAACCTAGATCGAAATCCCTAGAGAGAGAGAGAGAGAGATACCTATCAGAGATGGTAAGCACGGTGGTGACGGAGGGAGGATCATCGGTGACGGAGGGAGGCGCGGCGGTGACGGAGGGAAGAGGGACAGACAAGTGGCGAGAGAGAGAGAGAGAGAGAGAGAGAGGAGCGGCGTGTGTGAGAGAGGCTTTGAGTGTGTGTGTCTGTGAAACCCTAACAAAGACAAGCATATGCATATATATATCCAGGGACAAAAGGGTCATTTTACCTCGGGGACCATGCGGGGCGGGGCCAGGGCCGGTTCTGAAACACATATCCCCGTCCCTGGCCCGGATATCATCGGGGATGAATTTTTGAATACCGTCCCCGGCCCGTAGGGGATATTTTTCGGTGAATAACTGCCGAATTCGGGGTCGGGGCCGGTTTCAGATTGCCATCCCCACCCTCCCCAAAACAAAACAAAAAAAACAAGATGCATAGTATCAAATTTGTTGTAGTCTGGTATGGCTTCTGAGGAAATATGGCAAAATATGTTCATGATACTCAAGAAGAAAAACACTATGGTCCTCTATCTTGTTTGCATGAGTTTCAGTAATGTCTCTCGTAACTGTCTGAAATTATGTTTTCAATCTGATACATTCTCTCTCCTATGATGAATATAAAATCATCCTATAATATTATGGTCTTCGCATTGGGACCATTAATCTGGTTAGCATTGATATATTCTAAAATAATATACCTCATGTTAAATCACCCCAACTCAACTGAACAACTGCTTTGTCAGAAATTATTTCCACGATCTATATAATACCAATGGTCTTGTTGTAATGCTCTAAACATGGTTCTAAGCTCTAACATAGTTTTTATTCTTTTTTTGGTGGTTGCTTTAGATGATTGATGATCAGGACCTCGGTTTCTTTGCCAATTTTCTTGGCATCTTTATTTTTGCACTGGTGATCGCATATCACTACGTCATGGCTGATCCAAAATATGAAGGCAACTGAGGGTTTCTTTATTGTCTGCAGCAGATGGATGTCATGCCAGCTTTTAGTTTTGCAGGAAGATATATTTTGAGGTAGCTAAATTCTGTGTTTGCAACAATGAAGTGTATCTGGCCTCTTTTATTAAATAGACTTAATTGAAGGCTTTCACTAAATATTCTTCTTACTTGTAATTTACATACAACTCTCTCTAAGATGGTGGTGGTGGTGGCTGTTTTGGTCGGGACATAGCTGTCCTGTTACAAACCATCTCCAAAATGATCCTAGGTTACACATTTCAAATTTGAGTACGTCTATAAGTATTGTTAGTTCCTTGGCAATGTTCAAGGCCTAAAAGACCACAAGTTAGCCATGCATTAAGTGAATTAGTCCGGTGGAAAATTTCTTTAAAACCTTGCCACAAACAGTATCTTGTGTAACCACTCGATCCATATGCACAAGATAATAGCAAGTTAACAAGTTAGATTACTGTTAATGGCAGTTCAATATTTTTTCACTAGTTCGAAATCCAAACCTTACTTCAAAATCAAAGGATACAATCACTTGAGCTAAACTTAAATCCAACATCTTCCTGGTTCGAATATATAAATTGTAGAAGTTAGGATCCACTGTAGATGGGGTTGTCAGTTTCCACCGGCACCTTGTCATAGCCCTACAGCACAACCCAGGTTAGATGGGGTTGCCAATTTTCTTTTCTTTTATTTCTTGTGCTAACGCAATTCGTGATCTAGTGCCATGACAAGCTTAATGTTCTTGTAAGCTGTAACTGGTTATTCAATTCACGGGAACCAACCTTTATACAGAAGTGTGAAATAAAACTATTTACCAACTACATTTTCCAAACCAGGGAAGAAGCACATCTTTTTACTAATCCTTTATAGAACCAAACTCCAGTGGCAAATGTTATAATACCTTTTGCCAAAGCTGTAATTTGGTAATGACCCATAGTAAGTTGTCAAATTATAATAATGATACTCCACTGATAGCATGTTATTTTTACAAATTTCAATGAATTTTCCTTCTAATTTTGTATGTGTTGTTTGGATATGAATTTTTTAGTGAATTTTTTTTATAGTTTATTTTTTGTCTTTTATGACTTTTTTTAAAGCTTTTTATAAAAAAAAAAAGTAAATATTTATATTCTACCAGACTAGACAAATCGTTGGATGTTGTCATCATCCAACGGTTGAGATTTAGTCTCTGGAATTTTCCTCTCGCTTTATTCACTCTCTCTCTTCTCATCTTCGGGTTCGTTTGGTTTGAATTTCCCAAAAATTTTTGGGAAAATTTCTCTACAAATGAATTTTCAGAAAAACTCAAACCAAACAAATTTTTTCAAAAAAATTTCCCAAAACTTATAAACTAAACAAGTTTTTCAAACAAATCTCTCTCTCATAAACATCAAATCAATCACTTTTTCCAAAACTCTCTCTCAAAATAATTTTCCAAAACATCTTTCCAAAAAAACCAAACCAAACAACTTTTCGTACTTTTTATCTCCCAAACTCATCTCCCAAAATCAAACCAAACAAGCCCTTAATGTCTTCATTTTCTCTCTCTTACTTTTACACCCACTTCCAACAACACCAACAACCAAATAGACTCTCTCTCTCTCTCTCTCTCTCTCTCAATCATCCATCACTTATCTACTCAACTCAACCCATCATCGGAGTTGCCACACTTCTTCCATTATCTGGGACCCATCATCTTCTTCACATACTACATACTATTACATTCCCTTTCAGTGAACGTTCTTGGTAATGAGTTGTTGTTGTTGTTCGGGAGTCTTTGGGATCCGAGATGTTGGACCGGAATCCAGAGACTTACTCCGAGTTTGGATCTAATTTGAGTATGTGGTTATTCTTCTGTTGGTGGTTGAGTTATCTTTGTGTTAGCATTTTCTTTAATTTCGGGGATGAAATTTCCTAAGGTGGGGAGAATGTAACACTTTGGAAATTGTTTTTCTTTCTCTTTGCTCGAGCGACGGATTGTTCGCTCGAGTGGTCTTCTGTGGCAGGGAGTACTTTTGTTTGCAGGTTTGAGATTTTGAGAGTTGACTGTGTTCGCTCGAGCGTAGCAATAGTCGCTCGAGTTGTTTGTTCAAGGATAAACATGATTAAAAACCCACTTTTTGTTCATTTTCTCTCATTTTTCTCTCTTTTCTCTCCCTCAAATCTTCATATTCGAAAACCCAAGCCGCAAAACCTTTGATTTCACCTCATTACACCAAGGATCCACCTTAGATCATGCAAGATTAGTGAAGGATCTCTTGACCGATTAGGTTGCAAATTCGTCAGAGTTCTTGCTTGAGTCTTCGTTGTTTTCTCACCTTCTTGAGATAAGGAGTTCTCTTAACTATAATCATTTATGATTTTGTTTGATTATGTAGTATTATGGGAAGTATAGGTTGATTTGAGTTTGAAATCTTTGATTAAAAGATGTTTATATTCAAAAATTGGGGTTTTCACTCAAACTTTTGAAATACTAAGAATGTTTTAAGATATTGATGAGTAATATTTGATGATTGGTGGATTTAATGATGAAATAAAGAAAAACCCTAATTTTGTTGAAACCCTAGATTTGAGATTTTGTTTTTAAATGAGGGTTTGAATTAAAATTATACTTTATGTGGAAATTTCAATTAATCTTCTTGAGTATCCGTATGTGGAATGGGATTGGTGTTATGATGATGTCAATGGAGGATTTAAGGAAGTTGTTTTGGGTGGAAAATCTAGAAATGTTGAAAGGTTCAATGTACAAAACAGTATATAATTAAAATTGATGGTGGGGATAACATAGGGACATGGAAATATATATGTATTTCATATCATATTCATTGGATTGATTTTGTGTGCAATTGAATTGGACATCAGTTAAGTTACAATATTATGAACTCTTGTATTGCATTGCATTCACAAGGTGTTGGATTAAGTGTTGGGTTGTGTAATTGGGTGTGTGTAAATTTAAAGCATGTTGTGTGTGTTGAGATCCCCAAATTCCCTTCCGTGCTCAGAGGCCGGAGAATGTGGGAATGTCATAGGTATATGGTTAAGGTGCCAAATTACCTTTCTGTGCCTAACACCGATAAATGTGGGTGATACGATTGAATAAATGTGTTGGGTGTCCAATTGCCCCTTCGTGCTCGGTGGTAGGTAAATGTGGAGGTATTTGATTTAAAAATGTAACGGGTGTCTAATTGCACCGCCATGCTTGATGGCCGGTAAATATGGAGGTGTTTTCGGAAATGTAAAAGGTGCCCAATTGCCATTCCATACTTGGAGGCTGGTAAATGTGGGAGTATTATGAGATTTGTTTTGGGATTTTATAAAAATAGAAAAGGAAATATTTTCAAGAAGAATTATGGTCCAAGTGTTGAGTCAATCGTGGGTTTAAAGTTTATATTGATCATTGAATGTTAAAAAAAATTACAAGACTTGTACATTATGAGGTGTTGCATGAATATAACCAACATGATTATATATGTATATTTATAGTGTGTTAAGCTTATTTCCAACTGGACGTCATTGCTCACTCCAGTTTTTGGGCTGGATATTCCCAAATTCCAAATGATCAAGGTGTGATTCGTTCGTTCAGAAGTATATAGAGTTCTAGATGGAGCACTAAAACTCCTTTGATGTTTCATGTTTCAACTATGAGCTGACCTGCCGAGATAGAATTTTATTTTCTTAGTGATCAAGGCCCTTAACCTTGAAATGTGTAAGCCTCTAGGGCAGTTTGATATATATATATATATTATATAGCTTCTTGTACTGTAATTTGTTGTAATGTATGAGATGACCGATTTGCAAGAAATAGATGGGTTTTTGATTTATAATTTGTTAATCTTTATTTATCTGGAAATTATTAAGGTTATGGAATTAAATGGTAATAATGGGTTGGTAACTAATAAAATGATGTTAATTTTTTGGACGTGACACAACACCCTCTCCACACTCCCTTACTGAGGCAATTATCAAACACTTTTCTACACCTCTCCCATTGCTATATGCTACACCTTTAGCCTTCTCCATCCGTAACAATGTCATCTGTTGCCACTAGCAACCTGAGAGAAAGATAATAAGAGATCGCCCAGCTACATACCACCCTATTTTCTATACCTAGCCTTAATTAAATCAATCCCACTCTGTCCCCATATCCCCGCCATTCTGCCACCATTAGCAACCTGAGAGAGAGAGAGAGAAAGAGAGAGAGAGAGGTCACCCCACCAAATACCACCCTAATCCGCCATACCGAACCTTACTTTTCTCAAGCCTACCCCATTATCAGAATCCTTTGCCATTTTGCCATCTTGCCATCTTGCCATCACCTACAACTCTCGCATTAATCATCAACCCCCACGCATCTTTGCTGTAACCATCAAACCCTACCTCTCTCCCACCTAAATCATCAATCATCGACACCTGTCCCTATCATCAATCATTCATTTCCATCCTAAACCATCACATCAATCCTCTATACAAACACAATTTTCAACATACCAAAAAATACATGTATTAAAAGAGATGGATTCCAAAGAGAAAACAAGAGGAAAACCACCATCGCCACGAACACTCTTCATTGCCATCAACTATCAATGCCGTGACACATTTATCACTGTCGACTACTAATGACATAACTTCTCCCTCTAGTTCTCCTCATCCCAGGGTCATAATATTTGGCTTCACAGTTTTGATATGGTTAGGGTTAGAACCAAGTTTCAATTAAGTTATTAGGATAAAAAGTTGGGATTTGGTTATTAAGGCAAAAATTACCATTTTGATTTTTTTTAGTGATGATGTCATCAAAATATATTAGTCGATGTAACAAATGAGTTAACAAATGGATAGTTTATTATGTGAATATAAACTTCAATGAGTGTGATATAATTTCTAAAACTATAATGGGATTTGCATTTTAGGAAAACCTTAAAGGGGTAATGGCAATTTCTTACTATTTGTATGCGAATTATAAATGTATGTTTCTTTAAATCAACAATGTACTTATTTTTTTGGTGACGAGGAGGGAGTGGAGGGGTTTAGGTGGTTCTGGTAGTTATGGTTTGGGTCGACTAGGGTGTTAGGTTGTGTAGAGATGCTCTACATTGGTAGAAGTAGGTAGAGAAGGGGCAAAGGTAGCCAGAATGAATGAGAGAGGGTGAAAAAGAGCTACATTGGGTGGGGAAGTAGCAGGTATGGTGAGGAAGAACCAAATAAGTGGTGATAATAGAGGAAGATGGCAAAGGTGCGTTGGGTGGGGATGGTTTGCTACAAAATACATAGTTT